AGAGGAGGCACGATGGACCCTAAAGGCGATTCACCAAGGAACTTGCGCCACCCACGCGGGTCCTAGATCGCTCAAAAGAACGGTCCTCCTGCAAGGCTACTATTGGCCGACAATCAAGAAAGACGCCTCAGAGGTTGTCCTCGACTGCCACCGGTGCCAAGTGCATGCTTCCAAGCATCACCTTCCCAGTTCAGAGCTGCAAAGCGTGGTCGGACCGTGGCCATTCGCCAAATGGGGAATTGATCTCCTTGGCCCCTTTCCCACGGCCCCTCTGGGTAAGAAGTATCTGATAGTGGCAGTAGATTACTTCACTAAGTGGATCGAGGCAGAGCCGCTGGAAACCATCACTAGCACCAGGGTACAGAAGTTTGTGTTCAACAATATCATGATTCGCTTCGGCATCCCACAGTCAATTGTCACCGATCACGGCACGCAATTTGACTGTCGGCCATTCGAAAACTTCTGCGCAAGAAACCGCATTGTGCTCACCATGGCATCTGTGGCATACCCATAGACAAATGGTCAAGCTGAGGCGTCCAACAAGCTCATTTTACAGGGACTAAAGAAGCGTCTCGGAGACGCTAAAGGGGCATGGACGACTGAGCTTCCTCACGTCCTCTGGGCGCACCGCACCACCTACAAGGCGGCCACTGGCGAAACTCCCTTCGCACTCACTTATGGTTCCGAAGCGGACGCTCCAGAAGAACTGAACTTACCCTCCCTCCGGGTTCAAGCATACAGCCCTGAAAGCAATCACAGAGGGTTACTAGATTAGCTGGACATGGTGGAGTCAAGACGAGACACGACCTTGGAACGCATCATCAGCGAGAAGACTAAGGTGGCCGCCTCTTACAACAAGAAGGTTAAACCGCGTCCCCTGGAAGAAGGAGACAAGGTCCTCAAGCGTGACTTCCAACGCAAGGACGAGCATGACCAACTCGGAGCCGCATGGGAAGGACCATTCCTCATTGGCGAAAAAACAGGTCCTAGCACCTTTCGACTCGCCACCATGGAAGGCCATCCCATATCCAAAACATGGAATGGCATGCATCTAAGGAGGTATCACTCGGCAGCGGTCTGAGAGATTGTTTGGTAGCTCAAGTGCTATTTTGATGGGCCTGGGTACACACCCGCCCTTGTAACAGTGTATTGTTGGCTAGCACAGCAACCCCTTTTGCTCATGTAATACACTGAAGAATTTTCGGCTAAGTTTTTCATCTTTTGCAAACACGGTCGCATATCCCGTGCCCGACCTACGCTGATGATCCCAGAGTCGCGTTACAAGCTAACCTTGACATTAACCGCATAAGTTAGCAAGACACAACGCACAACCTAGAAATTGAGACACGAGTCTAAACACATAACCAACGCAGGGCGGCGGTCATCAGAACCCACCCTGATAATAAAACATAATTATCCAAAAGACGCCTTCCGCAAGGATAGAACCTTGAAAAGCATCAAACGTGCATTGTCTTAACTTCAAACACAGAAAATTACAACGAAACACCTAAACCGCTCAAGGATCGCGGGGACCATCATCACCTCCAGCATCAGCGGCCGGGGAACCTTCTTCCTCATTCTCAGAATTCACGTCCGCATCCGTCCACGCACCAACTGCATCCCAGATCTCGTCGGTACTCCAAACCGCCTCCGGTTGGTCCATACGAAACCAATGACGGATGGCAGCGACCGCATTGCCGACAATGGTTTTGTACTTTTCATTATCAATGGCTTGAAACTCGGCAGACTCTAAGTATGCTGGACCGGCTTCAGCGCGAACGGTCTCAAGCTCCGCCTGATGGTTTGCCTGCAAGGCCGCCTTCTCCAGCTTCAAAGCCTCTACCTCTTTACGAAGGGACTCCTGCTCTTCCAGCAACAACTTCTCCATCTCACTTGACTTCTTTCCACGCTCCTGCAGCTGATCCCTCTCTTCCTGAGCTTTCCGAACCGCCTCCCTTCCTAAACTGAGCTCCTTGTCTTTCCGAGCCAACCGCTCCTCATATTCCCGCTCCACTAGTGGACGAATCTCCCCCATCAATGCTTCTCTCCCCTCACTCGAACTCTTCTTTAGCTTGGCAATCTCTACGGCCTGGTCATCAACGGTTTTTGATAGACGGTCGTTGTTCATCAGAATCTGAGAGAATCCAATCTGGGCCTGAAACGCGGAAAACTGAGAGATGAACAAGCAATTCTCAACAATCATTAAAATGTATCACCATAGACGTACCGCAAAGAAGAACTGAGTGGCGGTTCCGGCAAGGCGTTTACTGTTACCACTCGAAGAAGCTGTATACTCGGGTGGCATAACAAGCTGATCGCAGATCGTGTGAAATGCGAGTTCAGCAGCCTCACCATCAGTGGCCGCCTGAGGAGGAAGATCAACCTGAGTTACCTTCACCGAAGGAGACACACCCTTGCCGCGATTTTCCCCAGCCTTCGAACGTGGCAAATTGGTCCTCGACCGCTTGGCCAAATTGACGGGAACGCTAGGTTCCATCGGCCTCTTACCAGCACCACGGGTGACCGCACCAGGGGAAGAGGGCGTCCCTTGGCGTTGAGGTGGAATGACAGACTTCGCCGCTCCAGCAGCGGTCGTCGAGGGACTCGCTCCCCGAGGGTCGCTCACCTTCACAGCAACTTTCTTCTTCTTGGGACGAACCGCATCCGCCAATGCTCTCAGCCCTGGAAGAAAAAAGAATAAGTAAACTCATATTAGAAAATGGGAACAGCACAAGCAAAGGACACATGTTACTGACCATAAAAATCGCGAACATGCTCGTACGCACTCCCTGAAACGCTGGGAAACACACGCAGGTGAAATCCTTCAATGAGGCGGTCCACGTGATCCCTAACCGCCGAAGAATACTGGGTCGAGGAACACCAAGACTCCTTGGATCCAACCGCATTCCCGGTGGGAGGGGCGGTCCCTCCAGAGTACCATTGCCCCATTGGACGAGCAAACAGATACTCCTTGTACCAAGGCGAGTCAAGCTTGGGCGATCCCGATACCAAACCAATGGTACTATCCCGCCTTCCGATGGACCAACAGTTAGTCGAATCCCGGATCTTATACAGTAGCCGAAACGCATCAAAGGAGGGTGTCTCCTTCAGGCGGCTACACGCATACCGATACATAACGGAATGAAAAATGATGGAAGGCGAGAGGCGTCCAAGCGTACATCCTAACCAGGTCAGCGTCTGTGTCAGGATGGGATCCAAAGGAAACCGCAGACCTAGCTTCACGTGCTCCACAAAGATAGGGATCCAACCCTCCGGACACGACCCAGATCGGCATTCCTTGGAGGGGGCCGCATTGTCCCACTCAGGGGGAAGATTCAAAGCATTCAGTTGATGGAGGACCTGTGCGGGTCTCAAAGCCGCCACATACTTGGGACCGTATTCCAAAACCTCCCGAGGCACTGGTTGACCGCCCCACATACCTTCATGACGGTAGATTGTGTAGGTGGCATCCTCAATCGCTAACCGCGACACCTCCTCCCCCTATGAGTCAATTACTTCCAACGACGAAGAAGTACTAGGAACCGCCTCAGACCTCTCTCCATCACTACTAACTGTCTCCTCTTCACCCGAGGAACCGCTATCTAAATCTATCGCCCCAAACTCTCCTAAATTATCCCCAACCGCAGACGAAGTTGGCACAACCCCAACTGGTACAGGGCGCGTGTTAGCAAAAAAGTTATCTAAACCCAAGGATCCCCCAAAAACACACTCGTCTAATTCGGAACCGCTCCCGAAGTACAAGTCCAGACCAGATAGGTCAAACACGCATTCGGGAACGCTTCGAGCGGAAGGAGAATGAATCGTACCTTGCGCGATGGGAGTCGCACCACCAGTAGACGCAACCACTTTCTTCCCAAGAGCGGCAGAAGAGGGCGGCGCCGCGGGCCGCAAAGGCTCCTCTCCAAGAGTGAGCGACGAAGGGGGCACAGTTCCCGAAGTGGCGGCCGAAGGGAGAGTGACCGTCGCGGTAAGCTCGCCGTCAAGAGCGCCAGCGACGGTGGCTCCCTGATTCGCTTCGCCGATCGAAGCATCTTGCCCCTCCACAAACATCTGCAGCAACAAGCACGAAAACGACGGAGCCCAACGCGCGACAAAGGGGCACCATTCGATAATGTACAAAGAGCAAAAGAAAAGAAGAAGAGAACACCCCTTAAAACGTGCAAGGGCGGCGCTTACCACGGGAAGAGTCGGCTCTTTATAGTGCACCTCGCCGGAAAATCCAAGCTCCGAATCGTGACGCAGAGGAAGAAGAAAGAAGAGGACAAGAATTTCTTGCAAACGGAAAGGAAAATGGCAGGTAAAAGCGAACTCAAGGCCACTTATAGTAAAGTCCGAATCCCAAAGTACCAGAGGTGACGTTCGGACTGCCTCTGACAACACACCCTCCCCGAGGCGGGCCACGTGGCAACACAGAAACAAGGGGCAAGGCGTCTCGTACCAAGACCGTCCCATAGCCATTCCTCACAACACACCATGCCCGAGGCAGGCCACGTGGCAGCACAAGAACAAGGGGCAAGGTGACTCGCGACATGACCGCCCCATAGTTGTTTCTAGCGAAAGCTCATCGCGACAAGGGGCAAGTAAGTAACCATGGACCGCATGAGCATTAACCGCATCATAGATTGCAAAGGAATAGCCGCGACAACCCAACGCTTCTCACGACTAAGGGGCAAATGTTGGGCCTAGTATTAACATACGTGGGCCTAAGGCCCATGGTTACAAAAGCCCACAAAGGCTAGTTCAAACTAAGGCGGTTTAAGCCCTAGCTTATCGTGGTAACCGCCCGACACTGACGCGCGTCTGACGTCAGTGAACCGCCCGACAAAAGGACTGAGTCCTTGCCAGACAGAGGGGATCAGACATTCGTACTGACACACCATTTAATGTCCTCTGAGGCATCCCAGACCGCCCGACACGGCATTAAATGTCTCAGTACGTGGACATTCTAGTATAAATAGCCCTAAAGGGGCAGCATTTATGGTAACTCCGATCAACCGAATTCTCTCTCTTATTTACACTTCGTCACTTCTCTCTCTAACTTTAGCATCGGAGGAGGTCCCAGGTTACCCCTGAGGACCTTTCTTGTAAGATCCCGGAGGTCGCCTCTCATCTATCGAAGCCGCCAGGGGTCGTGGAGTCTCACAACCGCCTGGTACGATCCAGGCATAAACATTAACCCCATGTATATCGAGTAACATGATCAACAAACAATGCAAAGTATTTATAGCCATGTCGGATAGTCACTTAGCTCAAACCCCAAAGATCAGTGTGAATGAGGTGAAATGGTTGGCTCGACGGAAAAAAAAGATATGAGTGGTTTTACCTTCTACAGAGCTAGAGCATGATAAATCCTACGGGCAAGTAACTTGAACATTATTTCCCAATGATCGTTTCTTTAACATGTGTACAAGTCGACTAGAATTTAAATGCCCCAAACAACATGTCACAACTCAAATGAATTATTGGAGCAAAATCCACTTTTTGAGAGTCCAAATGCCGAACAACATCTAGGCTCTAGCATCCTAGGTTATTGGAGATGGTGTTAGAAGCGGGTGCTCAATATTGAGAACACGCAGGTTGGGCTTAGTGGAGGCGATGGGCGATGGCGATTGTGAGGGACAATCTCCCTATTCACGACATTGTCACGATGGATTGATTAGTGATTACTTGGAGTTAGCAGTTAGCACAATGTCATAATGATGGCACTGGCACGATGGATTTCGAAGAATTTTAGACGACGATGGAATTCTGGAGGATGCCGGAGATGCGAATGCCTAGTTTTCTCTTGTTATGGTGATTGTGCCGGCGGCAGAAGCAGAGGCGGAGGCGGAGGCAGTAAAGGAACTTGTTGCTACTCGCTACTCGGTTCTCTCTAGATCAGTACGTATCATAATTCTTCTTCGGTTTTGTTTCGAACAAGTTCCATGCCCTTTATCTTGGTCATTTATTTTGTTCTGCCCTAGTCGGTGTGTTGTGTGAATAGGAAAGGCCTTTGTCTTTGTCATATCTTTTGTTCTGCCATTGTGAGTGTTGTGTGAATGGGAATTTGCCTGTGAGTTATTTCAACCTAAATAAATTTCCTTCCTTTGCTTGGCTTTCATTCGGTTCTACAAGTTTGCTTGGAAAAAGAGAGTAAGACATAGATCAGTGGCTCAGTTAAACATTTGATGAACATAAGTGTAAATCCATCAGTTCCATCTGCTTGCCTCCGTTCAAATGAGTGGAGCAATGAATCCAGATTATGGGTTTCTGGCTTTCAGCATATTTTATGGCAAGGGAAACCCTGCATCTATCCTCATCCCTGCTTCCCGAGTCGTTAAACTTGCTGGGATTGCCATAAGGAAGTTTCGAGCCCAGGATTCCGGAGGATTGCCACACAGCTTTGGGTCCTGTGGATTCTCCATTAGCACTGATAAGTGATAACGACTGAGCTAGTTTGGGAATGGTCAGTCCCTCGAGATCGTAAGACTTGCTAGGGCTAATGCGGCTATAGCGTAGGCTGTGCTAGATGCAAGCGAACTGCCTCCTTACTCACAACATTATGAAGTAGTTTAATTTTTGCAGGCAGAACTACACAGCCTTGCTGTTTATTTGTACTACACTACAACTTCCGTTAGCTCCTGCTAGAGACTCACAGAAGGCAAACATAACTTGCCAATTTTATTAGGATGGTTCTAGTTATCTTATCAGGTAGAATAGGATGTGAATAGCCCCACAGAAAATTTTCGCTTAGTTCTGGTATAACCCTAGATAGGCGAACCTACGTGTGGAGGCAAGAATTAATGGCTTCTCTAACTTGACGACCGATTCCAAATACAACCGTCAAATCCATGGTGTTCTGTGAGCTAGTCTCCATTCAAATGAATGGAGCAGCGATGCAATGAGGTATTTCAACATCTTCTCCGCCATAGGTAGCCCTGCACAAAGCCTTCTCCATGTCCCAGAGCTGTGAGTCCCTATGGATTGCATAAGCAATTTCATCACTGTGGATCCCCTAGAAGTGGTGTATCCACCAAGTTTGCAGTCCTTGGAGGGGCGACGTAGCATCAGCAAAGGAAATGCTGGATTCATGTGGATGTCTCCTTAACAACTGCATCTAGGTAGTGTAAATTGGGAAGGTGGAGCTCTTCCACAGCATGGCTTCATCCCACTACCTCCTAGCTCTTTGCATATATTTTCCATTGTATTGCGGTTGTTGTTGTGTCAGTTATGCTCTAGCAAGGCCATGCTTAGAAGTTAGAATTAAATAGCTCTATGAATCTTGAACGTTTTTGGTAATTCCTTCAACGTGAACTTTTTATATATGCCCGGACTCATGAAATCGTTGTGCCAATTCTACTCACCATGGGCCAATCTTTGTTTAATGATCGTCAGTTATGGTTGCATTGGCAAGCATCCAGACCCAATTGTCATTTAGTTGATATTAAAAACAAAAGATTTACCCTGAAGAACCTTTCATCTTCTTCTCCATCAATTATTCCTCTCGAGAGCATACTCATGACAGTGCTGGATGTGGTCATAAACACCAATTGGCCAAAGTGCAACGGTTTTCCTCTTTTTCGGTAAACCTACTTAACAGCCTTCTCCTTAATACGTTGGAGTCGAGCCTTGTGTTGCTCAACAGTCCGTGTACAAAGACCTTTCACAGTTTCTAGCAGTCAGGGCCGTAGTAGGTAAAACCTATATCATTAGCACCATAAGGAAGAACTCTTGGAAGCAATCGAGGGATCCCAACCTGCAAATGTTATGTCCTGGTCACAAACTTGTTTAGCTAGTGATGGTGAGCCAACCATGACATACATCTTATTTACGTGCTCGACCTTGTAGATTGGGCCATAGGCTTCAGCCAGCTCTGTGAAGCCTTTGTGAAGATGGGTACCAAGAAATGCAGTTACCCTACTAATGGTAAGCCACGGGACCAGGTGGCAGTGGAGCTGAAGATTTGTTGTTGGATTTCCTGAGCAACTAGAATACCATGATCAATGCTACAAGTAATGCAAGCAGAGTTGGGTTGATAAACTTCCCCTGCTGGCTTCCCTCCACCATGACTAGAGGCTGTACTCTAATTCTTTAGAACAAAATGGCAGGAGGAAGCTCAACTTCAAGTGAAATAGAGACGGCAAGGACTTTTCAGTTGGGCTGTTTTACATGTTTAAGGTAGTACTTGGGTGACTTTCTGATTTTGATGAATGATTGGAATGACTTTGTATACTTCTGATCACGGGAGGAGGTGATGCAACTTCGATGAGTGTGGAACTTACCAGAAGTATCCTACAGCCCGATATATTGAGTGGTTCATATAGCTAATTAGATGTTAATTGATTTCTTTGGTAGCCTTGTATATCTGATTTGGAGTCTCTGCCAATAATAGCTTCAGAGTCGTGTCAATAAGTAAGATTGCTTCTCAATAATTCTTTGGCTTTAATTTGTTTTTGTTTTCTTGATTTGGTTTCAAAGTTTCTGGGACGTCATGGAGCTCTTCTTTCTTAAATGCTAAAAACTGTTGGGTCTTCCTTTAGTACCAAAGGAAGTAAAAGATTGCTTAGAGGTCCTTATGGAGTCTTCAACCCACAGTGAAGTCCAACTTCCAACTACCATACTATTTCCTTATTACACGTTGTCTACAGTTTGTTTGGTTCTAGTACAGCTCAGGATTGGCTAACCTTGGTGTAGGAACAAGAACTAACGGCTTCTCTAACTTCACGACAATTCCAAATTTATCTGTTAAATCAATCTGTGTCCCATATGCAAGTCTCCATTCAAATGTGTGGAGCAGCGATGCCAGAAAGTGTTTCAGCATCCTCTCCGCCATGGGAAGCCCTGGACAAACCCTCCTCCCAGTACCAAATGGGAGATACTGTGAACTAGTACCCAAGTAATCAAACTTTGATGCTTTCTCGTCCAGAAACCTTTCTGGTCTGAACTCCAGAGGACTGTCCCAGAGATATGGGTCCCTTTGGATTGCAAAAGCGTTAATGACAACTGTGGCTCCCTTAGGAATGGTGTATCCGCCAAGGTCGCAGTCCCCTCTGGCGCTACGGGGCACTAGAATGGGAACTGTGGGATGCAGGCGGAATGTCTCCTTGATAGCCGCATCTAGGTAGCATAACTTGGGGAGATGGAACTCCTCTACAGCATAGCTTCTTCCTACTACCTCATCTAGCTCTTTGATCACCTTCTGCATTGCATCTGGATGTTGCATCAGCTCTGCCATTGTCCATTCTATTGTCGTCGATGTTGTGTCTGTTCCTCCGATTATAGCATCCTGTAATAATATGTATTGTAGGGATTACACGAGCAAGCAAGTCAGGATTAACCAAGCTTCCAGCATTAATAAAACTCGGTATGGAAGAAAGTAGGATCATAGACAGTTCATTGTTTGCTCAGGTAATTATCCAGATGGATTGGACTTGAGATGCTTTATTAAGTCTTCGATTTGATTTCTGACCTGTGAATAATTTGTATGTAAATTGTGATTGATCATTGTTCCACAATTTTCATTTCTTTTGTTGGCAGGTTTAGCTACTGAAGTTTCAATTCTTTCTTTGACAAGTCTAGCTACTGAATATAATTACCCAAGAAATAATAGACCATGACTACCATTCTGTGGCTATGATCAGCTGCTGACTGCTGAGGTACATAGACAGTATGGTAAAGGCTTTGATCTCGCGATGATAAATCTAGATTTGCCTGGAACATAGTTATGTTTGTCTAAGCGTTTTGCTGTTATGGTTTTCACTTGGCTCAAACGATTAAACTGGTGATCGTAAAGAAAACAGGACACCTAAATTAGTAATTATTTTACCATGAGAATGCCCTTGAGTTGGTTTTCTGTGATGGATGAAGCATCATCTCCACGGCTTTTAAGCTCTAATAAAATCTGCAAGAAGTCCTTTGTTGTCTCTTTCTCTGCCTTTTCGACTAACTTCTTCCGTCTCTGATCAATTGCAGTACAGAAGATTCCATCAAGTACTTCCAACACCCTTCTGGATTTCCGTTCTATACCTTGCAGGTCAAACCTAGCAAGTCCTGGAATGTAGTCCGAGACATTGGCTGCTCCTTGAAGCGCCACAAACTCACTCGACAACTCTCTAACTCTGGAAAAGAACTTCTCCCCTTCCTTTCCGTGGATGGTGCTCCCCCAAAGCATGCTCAGGATGGTGTTCGATATAGTCGTAAACACCAACTGCCCAAAGTCCAAAGCCTCACCTCTCTTCTTCCAGTACACATCCGCAAGAGCTTTTCCCACTTCCTGCTTCCTAACCACGTAGGAAGCATCAAGCCTCGAGTTGCTCAACAGCTCACGCACGAAGACCTTCCGCAGCTTCTTCCACTCTGGGCCATAGGGGGAGAAAGCGATGTCATTTGCACCATATGTTAGGACAGTGGACGCGATTACCGGATCACGGTTTGCAAACGCTACGTCGTTGTCACGGATTTGTTTGGCAAGCAATGGCGAGCTGATCACGACGTAGATTTTCTGACCGAGCCAGAGCTTGTAGATGGGGCCGTGAACTTGGGCTAGCTCCGTGAACGTCTTGTGGAGATGGGTACCCAGAAAGGGGAAGTACCCAAGTATTGGTAACCCACGTGGACCAGGCGGCAAGTTGTGTTTTCTTATGGTTTGGAGTAACCAAAAAGCCATGGCTGCTGCTGAAAGTGTGGCTGCCCACCACCATGACCAGAGGAGGTACGCCATTTCTCAAACTTGATGATTGCTTGATAGCTTGGAACAGAAGTAGGAAGCCCTGTATTAAGTGAAGTAGAGTATGTTATGTGACAATGCAATCCAGTAGTGTTTATAGTTAGCTCTGTTTTAGTTTGACCGACATGGAGATAACTTAACACACAGGTAACTGTTACTGTTATCTCGGATATCATTGCACTGGAGCCCTTTTCTTGAATCTCTTTACTGTTAAGTTATTGTGTTAGTGATGTCTGGTCTGTGGCCGCATAACATTGACGGCTATCTCACCAGTAGTGATCTTGGGAATCTGACTTCTGTGAAGCCGGCCATGTTGGCCTTTCGTACTGATGGAAAGGGATGGCCTTTCTACTGCATGAGCAGAAATGTATGGCCGCCGATCGGATGACTCCCATGGGTTCTGTATATGCAGAATTAGGGAGATTGCATTGGCCCGCTGACGTTTTCGACAGCAGTTTGCTGCTGCTGACAAAAGCTGCCTTAGCCTTGAGCAGGCAGCGACGTAGCCGGATTGTGTTTCTTTTCCTCGCCCTGATTGTCTTTGTGCGTCTTTTGGTGTTGCTTTTATTGCCTCTCTGCCATAAAATGTGTGCTAATGGCCAATACAGCCAGGCCAAGAATTGAAGCTTTGTGGCACCTATCACAGTTTGATGTCATCCATTTCGTCATTCTTGGTCGAAAAGTTGCAGGCTGCCTCCCTTTCTCGAGAGCTTAGAACTGGATAGGGCTCTTCCATAACGATAATAACTTGGTCATATGACCTAAGTCACATGCATCCATATACTCCTAAGATTCAATTTTTATCATCTAGAACAATTGAGAATGAGCATCAAAATACACTAAGATCAGCTAAAGAAAACTAGAACAAGGGCAACTATTTCACCATCATATGCTCATAACCTACATTTGTAAATCGACCATGAGGATGGTGAAAAGGGATATACCTTACATTGGAGATACTCTTATGCATTGCCTTTTAGTAAGATTTCAACTAGTAAATAGTAATGTACGCAATTGGATTTGGAAGTATTAGAAAATTTACGACAACCAATGTATATATGACTCGCTATGACACAACACCTAACAATGGCCAAGTGTAACCAATGGAAGGGACTGCAGTATAGTGGCTCAAGTGATAAATATCGAATCCACGGGTCTCTAGAGTTACTATTACTCAGCTTCAGTTTATTATTTAGCAAACCATATCAAGATGAAAGAACTAAAACTACTCTAGCAAACTACAGTTAAAGTTAATCTAATTACAGGTTGGGAACTCACTTAGGTATGATTCCCCCTAGCCACTAGCCAGACTAACGATTGATGATTTCTAACTTGTTTCACTTTCATTCACAATGCGGAGAATCCTTGACTAGACCTTGAGTCTCGACTAAAGGAACAAGGCCCTCTTGAGTCAATTGCCTAGAGGGACGTATCCTTCTCTAGAACAACTGATCAAGGCATTCTGAACTAGACTCCCTCTATCGAAAGAGGTTCTCAATCGATACAAAGCAGTGAATCAACCCTCGACTAAAGCAATCGATCCACTACTATCAATCTATGGTGCTCTATTGACCTAATCAGGTATTCCCTCTCATAGGATCAAAGCAGAATCAATAATCTTGACTAAAGCAGAATTGAATCATGAAAACATGCATAGATTGAATATGAACTCAAGATTATCAAATCAGAGTAATCATACAATCATCCAATCAAACAAACATAGCTAGGGTTCCTCAAAACCTAAGTGAAGGGAAGTTACTCCATAGAGAAGAGAGAGACTACAGTAAGAATCTTCAGATGATCAGTCTTCAAGTCCGGGCTTGTTCCTCGAGCTTCCAAGGCAAAGAAATCCTCCAATTCCACTTCAAGAATGCCCTCAAATCGCCCTCTCTCTCTTTGGTTCGTCCCTAGGGTGTTTGGGATCCAAAACCCAGCTCTCCCTCTGCAAAAACGCACAAAACAGGCTTTTAACAGCCTGCGTTCGCGATCCCCGGTCAAAATACCCGGTAGGGTATTTTAGGTCACGACAGGGGATTTTTTGGTTCACGATAGGGGATTTTTGGGTCACGACCGGGGATTTTTTGTTCACGATAGGAGATTTTTTGGAAAATCCCCTATCAAGGCCAAAAATCCCTTACCGGGGATTTTAGCTTCACGATAGGGCCCCCTTCTGTTTCTCAGAGAAGCCCGAAACCAATTTTCCCCTATCTTTGATTCTTCGTTTCTCCCTCGTTCGGACTCCAAATCAGGTGCCGTTTGATCCCAGACGCTCGTATTCTCGTCCTCTTTCTTCTCATGACAAGATTACATGATTATATGGTCACAAACTGGGGTAGAAATCCCTTCTTCTTCAAGTCATACCCGAGTTTCTTCCCCCGAGTCGCCAATTGATCTCCGATTGACTTGAAACTTGCGCCTACGCTTCACTTTATGTGCTAGGACCTGAAATGTGACGAAGGAACACAACCTAGCGTAAAATAGGCCAAAGAAGCAATAATACAAGCTTAAACGATCAAGAAACAAAAGGGAAAACATGTGCAAATATCGAGTCATCAATATACCTTTTTTTTTGTGGTGTTAGCAAAGAACATACCAAAAATTCTATTTGAGGGCCAATCTAACTTGATGAAAATTAAGTTCTCCACGTAATTATGCAACAAATGGAAGAAAAATTGATCAATTTATATGGAGCATACATGATAGCTTGAAAAAACGATGCACTTTTTATTTAGTTCGCAAATAAAGCTTATAATAATATATTGACATTTGCTCATGGAATCGTTCCACATCTTATTCGGTACCAAATTTATCCTGTGAATGAATCTCTACAATCTTCAATTTGTCTTCTCCTTGTAATTCAATAAAACCTTATTGATCATGTCTTCCAAGTTCAGGTAAGCCTCCCCAATCTCATCTTCAGTTGCCTCCTCCGTCAATTTCTTCCACTCCAAGGCTCTTTTCTTCATCTCTTTCCCTTTCTCCCCATCCATCAACTCCCCAACAAGCCTCTCAATCTCACTCCTCGTAACAACGCTACTGATCTCAAGTCCAACACCCCATTTGTTACAGCTAAACCAACAATTAGTCTGTTGTTCGGCAAAGAAAGGCCAGCAGATCATGGGCACGCCACTCGTCAAGCTCTCGAGCGTCGAGTTCCATCCACAGTGTGTCAAAAACCCTCCAACCGATGGGTGTTTAAGCACTTTCTCCTGAAGGCACCAACTCGCCAACAGTCCCCTTTCCTTGGTCTCGTCCACAAACTCTTGGGGAAGAATCGCGGAATTGCCCATAACAAGGTCAGGCCTAATGACCCACAAGAAATTCTTGTTGCTACTCGCTAGTCCCCAAGCAAACTCAGCCAATTGATGAGGTGTAATGACAGTGATACTCCCAAAATTGACGTAGACAACCGAATCGGGTTCTTTCTGGTTGAGCCATTCGAGGCAATCAGTTTCCTCTTTCCACAGGTTCGATTGAAGAGATTCCAAGCCGGTTTCTTGGACTTTCAGGAGGTGCAGAGGGCCGATTGTGTAGATTGGAGGGAAGGTTGGGAAGAGAGACCGAAGAACTTCTTGTTCTAGTTTATCAAATGTGTTGAAAATTAGTGCCGATGCATTTCGAGATCGTTCGATTTGTTCTAGGGCAAAATTGAACATAAGGTCATTTGGATCCGTTGTGGCGAAAAAGCTTGGGAGATACTTCAAAGGGATGCCTTCCATGCCAGGGATCCAGTCAACTTGAGTTTCCATGTACCCATTTGTCAAGTAACTTGCATCTGTCAATATATAGTTACATAGATCATAGCTGTGGTTAAATTCTTGGAAAATGATACGGTATTAAAAATACTATTGAAGCAAATATTATGAGAGTTACTTATAAGCAATGTAGTCAAAATCGCGTTTTACGTAAAAGCGTAAAACCAGAACATTTTCTTTAAAGCGCAGCTTTTAACTACATTAGTTATAAATACTAAAATTATGCGTAAAAATGTTTTGGTAAGCTAGAAGTATAAAAATGTAGATTTTTAAATTTTAAAACGCGATTTTAACCATATAAGTTGTAAGCAAAATAATACCTTTGAGGGGAGCAATGCCCTTTTGGAGGAGCTGGCGATAATGTAAATAACCCACGAACCCACACGCGCTCGCCGTCCATAACAGCACATTAGGAATCCCTATCTCATCAGAAGCATCAAGCGTAAAACTCATGATGGCGTCAGAAACCACACAGCTAACTGGCGGCGGCGGAGGAGGAGCCACTCCGCCACCACCATCACCGGCCGACGCTGCTTTATTTAGCTCGGAAAGCAGCCGTTTGAACGAAGCCAGGCAGTGCTTCCTCGTGGAATCGCACAGGGCCCGCATGTCCTGGGTGGCGTCGGCGTCGGACGGTGGGAGCCCGTCGGGGATGGTCTCGAAGCGGAAGCGGTCGAGGCCGTCGAAGGCGGCGGAGCCACGGGAGCGGAGGAGGCGGCGGTGGTTGAACTCGGTGTTGACGAAGGTGACGTGGAAGCCTCTGTAGTGGAGGATTTTGGCGAGCTTGAGCATCGGGTTGATGTGGCCTTGTGCCGGGAAGGGTATGCAAACTGCATGTGGTGGTGCATCGATGGAAACATTTTTTTTAGGGCTGCCCATTTAATTTCTCTCTTGCCAAATCGTTAAGGAAGGAAGTGTGTAGCTAGCTATCTGCCCTTTGTTCCTCTGTTTTAAGTTTGATGTGGAAGGAGAGCAATTGCCCTTGCGGGATTTTGTAGGGGACTTATATGGATGATGAATTAATTATCCATGCTCAGGTTGTCAATCGATTTTCGAAAGTGGAATGGTACGACCAATGATACAATCGGTTTGTGTCGATTTATGCTGGTTTAACAAAATACGTGAAAATTATTAGCATCCAGTGAATTTAATCATATATAAAACATATTTGAGAACAATTTAACAAATAACATCAACTTTAAGTGATGGAACACAACATATATATTTATATTGGTGATGGAACACAACACGTATAGGTAGTATTAGGGAATGCGTTAGGGTGGCAACTAAAATTTTAGTAGCCACCGTGGCTACATAACTATCTGTCGTTCATTTTTCTTGTTTTCCTTTTTTTTAATCTCACTGTTAATTTTGTTTTAGGATAATTTTGGAAACAAAAAAGAGTCCACACCTAATTATTCTATATATTCTACTCAAACCCTAATCTACCATTCCTCCAGGCGAACCCTAGACGACGGCATCCGCCCACCTCCGCCCACCTCCTCCACTCCTCTCCCCTCTCTCCACCCAACATAGACGACGGCATCAGCCCACCTCCGCCCACCACCTCCCCTCCCCCCACCTCCGCCCATCTCCTCCACTCGCCCTCCCCTCTCCCCCCACCCTCCGCCCACCTCCTCCGATCTCTCTCTCTCTCTCCACCTCCTTCTCTTCTGTTGTTCTTGTGCATTTCCTCGGGGAAAAATCAACGGAAAGATGTAGCTTTTGTTTGTATTGGTATGTATTTTGTTTGTATTGGTAGTGATTTTTTAGTAGTAGTAGTAGTGTTTTTTTTTATTGGCGTAATGATATTGTTGTTTGGTAGTGATGTAATTGTATTCGTATTGGTTAATAAGTATAAGTGTTTTTATGGATTGGTATTGATTTTGTTGCATTGGTATTGTTTATATCGCATTGGTATTGATTATCATGTAATGGTATTAATTTGCATGTATTGGTATTGATTAAATCTGCAATGGTATTGATTTTTTTTAAATTGTATAGATTTATATTGGTAGATTGTTTATATTGATAGTTTTCGTCTAATGGTATAGATTTATTTCTGCAATGGTATTGATGTTTTTCAAAGTGGTAGTGATTGTCTAATGGATTGGTAGTGATTTCGTTTTTTTTTCTTTTGCAGAAAAATTGAGAAAAATAAGGAAAGGAAATCTGGCTGGAGATTATGGAAGTGAGAGAAAGAAAAAGAATCGTAATTAATAGATTTTTGTAACTACCTAAAATGTAATTCATTAAAAAATTAATTAATACAATTTATTTTTCCATACCCAATTTACCCTTAGTAACTATGGTGATTACTACAAATAATCACCATAACCTGTCCCGTAGTATTAGAGTACTGTGTCACTACAACACAACTCATTACTTGTCCAAAATCGACATAAAATTAATTTATTATACAATAAACAAAATTCCAATTGCAATAAAGAACTAATCGGGTTTCTTTTCTCCTTATGCCTATTCGATCTTTCTCCAACAACCCTGAAATTGTCTAGCGACAATGGCAATCCCACTAGTTTTGATCTACCAATTACAACTGCAAGTGTAAAAAGAGCATTTTCAGTTTTGAGTTATATTAAGAACAAGTTTCCAAGTCGGTTTGGCGACCAGTTTGCTAATACTTGTTTAGTAAGATACATTGAAAGAGACTTACATAATAGTGTAGACAACGAATGTTTTTGCGCTTCTTTCACTATATGAAATTCCTTCGTAGTTGTTTCTGAAAAGTATGATAGTATAATCGATTATTTTTAATTTATGAATGAATTATTTGGATATAATTATTTTTTATTAAATAATTCTTTTGTTAGATACTTATATATTTAAGTTATAAAAAAAAGGACAGGGGTGTTTTAAAATATTGCCTCCGCCACTGCACATGAGACAAACATACGTCCCATTGTAGATTCAAAAGGTGGTTGAATTGTTTGACAATGCTACCATGTCGATGGTCTGTCAAATAAGCAAACACAAACGAAAGGACACGACGATTTTAACGTGGTTTCCCTGATGATCAGGACTAGTCCACGGGAGAGATAGAACTCTCCAAGATAAACTCTTATTTTCGTTAGGGTTTTCTGTGATACAGGTTACATATATATAAGACTAGGTTAGGCTGGCTAATTACAAACAGGTACGTGATTTTTATATTTCAAAACCCTCCCTCAAATTGATGTAGGGTGCGTAACATCAATTTGGACGAGAGAAACCAATGCCTGCTTGATGCCAGCGCCTTTGTCAGGATATCTGCTGTTTGATCTTCAGTCGAAAGATATCCAACCTGTATCATACCCTCAGCAATCAACTGCCGGATGTAATGGACATGCACCTCAATATGTTTCGTCCTGTCATGCAGTACCGGGTTGATCGCTATCTGTATCGCGCTAGTATTATCACCAAAAATCCTCATAGGACGTCGACACTCCATGCCTAGCTCTTCAAGTAACCTATACAGCCACACCATCTCAGAACTTACTTCAGACATAGATCGATATTCCGCCTCAGTAGATGACTTGGAAACTCGATCCTGCTTCTTACATCGCCACGATACAAACGACCTGCCCACCCGGATACACCAACCAGACGTTGATCTCCTGGTATCCTTGCAACCGGCATAATCTGCATCTGCAAAAGCTTCAATCACAGGCTCCCCAGATGCTGGAAAGAACAGTCCCACTTCCTGGGTTTGCTTCAAGTACCTTAGTAATCTGTGAACGGCGTCCAAATGCATGGTCCTTGCTGCTCCCATGTATTGACTCACGACCTGCACTGCATAGGATATACCCGGACGAGTATGAGTAAGATAGATCAGGCTGCCTACCAGGCTGCGATACATCGACTGACCATCCTCATCCAGTATATCGCCACACTCCCGTGTCAATTTCAGGTTCTGCTCCATGGGAGTCGAACATGGAACACACGCCTCATATCCCGCCGTAGTTAACAAGTCACCAATGTACTTCTTCTGTGAGACAAATAAGCCATGAGCTGAGCGATGAACTTGAAGACCCAGAAAGTATTCCACATCTCCCAGCTCTTTAAGATTAAACGAACGATGCAAAGATGCTTTCAACTCCTTAATTCCCTGCGCATCACTCCCCGTGATCACCATGTCATCGACATAGATCAACAAAACAACAAGTCCATCAACTGTACTACGAATGAACAAGGAGGGATCATTTTGACTCTGGACAAACCCTTCTTGTATCACCGTACTATGGAACTTGTCAAACCAGGCACGCGGTGCCTGTTTTAGGCCATACAGAGATCGAACCAACTTGCAAACCATACTCGAATCTCCCTTAGAGTAACCAGGAGGGCGTTCCATATAAATTGTTTCTTTTAAATCACCATGAAGGAAAGCATTCTTGACGTCCAACTGGTACAACGGCCATCCCCGCATAGATGCAACAGCAAAGACACATCGAACCGTCTGCATCTTAACAACAGGAGCGAATGTCTCCTCATAGTCGATTCCATACACCTGGCGAAAACCCTGTGCCACAACTCGAGCCTTAAAACGCTCCAACGAACCGTCGAACAACAACTTCACATTGTACACCCAACGACTACCAATCACTGTCATGTCTGGGGTGCGAGGTACAAGATCCCAGGTGTGATTAGCATCAAGAGCTCCACATTCTTCGGCCATGGCCCCTTCCCAGCGAGGATCACCTTTTGCTTCTGCATAGCTCGAAGGAATGACAATAGAAGTAGCCGAATAACCCACATAATCTTGCATTCTAGGTGGTGGTTGCCCCAACGTGGCACGCGTCGAGCGGCGAAGGGGAATCAGCGGCTGATCCGCAGACGAGGACTACTGTTCCGTATCATTATTGCATGCCGAAGAGGAGGAGGAACCACCCGATTCCTGGGAAGTAGAGCAAGAACCGCTAGAAGAAGACAAGCCTATCGTCGAACCTGGAGTCTGCGGGGAGCTTGGACCAGGCGACAAAGGGTCAGATGAGGAGGAGCTTGCTGATTGTGACCCACTAGATGAATACCCACTCAACGTTGCTGCATGATTATCATGGGAGGAGTTGGACTCAAACGGTGGCAACGACACCAAAAAATCCAAAGATTCCTCCGCAGATTCATCCCTAGTTGTTGAGTAAAACATCACTTGTTCCAGGAAAACAACATGGCACGCAATACGCACGCGTCGATTCACCGGATCATAACATAGATAACCTTTGTGTTTCGCACTATACCCAACAAACACACAACGAGCTGTCTTCGGAGCAAGCTTATGACGCTCCTTGCGTGGAAGTAAAACAAAGCACACACACCCAAAAACTCGTAAAGCAGAATAGTCCGGCAGCTTACCAAACAAAGACTGGTATGGAGAACACTGACCAAGCACCGGAGTAATCTGGCGATTAATTAAGTAGACAACAGTCTGAACCGCCTCTACCCAAAACCTACTAGGAACACCAGAGTGAAACAGGAGTGCTCGTGTTAACTCAAGAACGTGACGATGTTTGCGTTCTACAAGTCCATTTTGCTGCGATACACCTGGACAGGATTCTTGTGGTAAGATCCCTTCCTGTTTGTAGAACACAAGTAATTCATTTGACGTAAATTCTCCACCAGGATCTGACCGAAGAATTTTAATGGTCTTTGAAAACTGAGTCTTGACCATTTGAACAAATTCTTTAGCCAAAGATGCCAGATCAGATTTCTGCTTCAAAAAATAAACCCAAGAGAAGCGTGTGGCGTGATCAATAAACAGAGCAAAGTACCTAAAACCCATACGAGCCAAAACTGGGGACGGACCCCACAAATCAGTATGGATGAGATCAAACGCATCCTCATAGACAGTGTCACTAGAGGAGAAAGATATCTGAGAAGTTTTCGCCTCGATGCAGCTAACACACGGTGAATGAGATGCAAACGTAGAATCAAGCTTATCAGGTAACAAATTCTGACGAAACATAGTCAATAACCGAGCAGAATGGGGATGTCCTAACCGACAATGCCATAAATCCCATGGAGAACCTTTAACCGAAAAATCCAAAGAACGAACTGAAAAGCTAACATCATTATTCAACACACTATCACCCTCGGCAAACAAATGTTCTCCCTCCTCTACCAAATCACCATCCAAATTCTCTTCCCGCAACTCGTCCCTCTCGGCAACAACACGAACAGCAGCAACTTCTTCTTGCCCATCCACTCGAGTTACACCCTCATCCTTCGATGCTTGCAGTTCATCGAGGACAAACACTCGCCCACATTTACTTCCTCTCCCGAGCACCTTCCCCGTCCTCTGGTCCTGCACAAGACAACCACCATTATTAAAAGTGACTTCACAGCCAGCTTCGGCTAGTTGACCGACCGAGGCTAAGCTGGGTTTCAATCCCGGAACAAGAAGCGTATCCGAGAGAGTAACAGGACCAGACGAAGAAGTGCCACAACCCGACACAAGAAGACGAGCACCATTGGCGACCTGAAGTCGAATACTCGGCGCTGGTCGCAAATGAGAAAAAGGATTGGCTAACAGGAGTCATATGATTATACGCTGCCGAATCAAGAAGCCAACGAGTAGGTTTACCTGGGGCTGCACCCGTAGAGAAAGCCGACGTAAGCGCAGCCGGCAATGCATCTTGCAATGCCTCTTGAACGAGCTTGCGAACCAGGTCCGGGGAGAAGCCCATATTCGACGGGCGCTCGGCAGTGAAGAGGGAACCACCGGAGCAGCACTACCCTCAACAGCATACGCTGAACCAGAAGAACTATGCGGACGTAATTTACTCCGGCGAATCAGAGTGGGACATTCCAGAACAATATGTCCCGATTTCTTGCAGTAATTACAGAAGTTTCGCTTCTTGCAATGAATCTGCAAATGCCCAGACTCTTGACAGAAGTGACAAATGACGTCTCCTGCGGGCTGCCGATTAAACTGAGGACGCGAAGAGCCAGAACGACCAACTGCAAAGGCAGTCTCAGAAGAGCCAACATTATCAATCTTGGCCTGGCTACGAAGGCGTGTTTCTTCGCGAATGAGCTCCCCCAGCACATCATCCATAGAAGTAACCCCTCGATGAATAAGGGAAGCCCTGATCGGTTCAAATTCCGGACGCAGCTTGGACAAGAACTGCATAACACGAGTTCGACTGCGTTCCGCAATAAGAGTTGCTGAATCTGCCCCCGTAACCAGAGAAGCCGCCAACAGATCATATTCTGTCCATAGATGCAAACTATCCTGATAAAACCCCCGAATGTCACGGTCTCCCTGAACCAGCCGACCAATTTCAATTTCCAGCTCAAACTGCCGGGAAACACTGTTCTGTGAGTGTGTACGAGTAAGATGATTCCACATCTCGGTCGCAGTACGGAAACGCCGCAAACCGAGGGCAGTTGGGACATCAACACAACCCGCCAACCAGGTGATGAGCTGCGCATTAGAGGCCTCCCAATCTGCACGTTCATGGGCCGAAGCATCGGCAGCGGGAGCTTTAATCTCCCCAGTCAACACACCCAACAATCTTTTACCAGCAACAAAGTTTCTGAACTGAAACTCCCACAGCGGGAAATTCTTCCCATCAAGCTTAATAGAGACCGAATCAAATTGTGAGGAATCCATACCTAGTGCTGGACAAACCCGAGAACAAACCCAGCCAAAAGATCCTCCCAAAGACGCCTAGCCCAGCCTGAGACAACAACCCAATCGCAACACAAGCAGCGCAACGACACTGCGATCAGCCACCAAACGCCGAGCACGAACACGTCCAGACTATCACCAACAAACAAGTCAGGGCCGAGGCTCTGATACCATGTCAAATAAGCAAACACAAACGAAAGGACACGACGATTTTAACGTGGTTTCCCTGATGATCAGGACTAGTCCACGGGAGAGATAGAACTCTCCAAGATAAACTCTTATTTTCGTTAGGGTTTTCTGTGATACAGGTTACATATATATAAGACTAGGTTAGGCTGGCTAATTACAAACAGGTACGTGATTTTTATATTTCAACATGGTCATCCTCAAATCTGTTGGTGATGATGATCTTGATAGCTGCTATGGAATCGATGTTGAGCTGGATCTTGCGATATTCTTCCTTCCAAGCAATCTTAAGCCCCTCTATCGTACCTCTTAGCTCTAATGTAGTGATAAAACAGGAAGTAATTTTTTTTTAAAACTAAATCTATGAAACGTAAGAATTATTCCATGCGCGGTCCATTATTATTAGGATAATGTGCATTTGGACAAGACCTACAATAATTAGCATAAGGATTACATCAAAATGGTACACGAAAACAAAACATGATTAGTATGATAAATTTTACAATGCTATATAGTATTGGTACTATAGGTTTTTGTCTTTATGGTACAACTTAAAATTGTACATTTACGTTATGGTACAACTTCAGATTGTACCTATACTTTTTGTAAAAATTCTTTTATGGTACAACTTGAACTTGTACCTTTACGTGATGGTACAACTTCAAGTTGTAAAGTTGTACCATAACATAATGATACAAATTGTTTTATGGTACAACCTAAACTTATACATTTAATGTTATGGTACAACTTTGAGTTGTACATTAAAGCACCAATGCTATATAGCATAATAGAAGTGCTCTGATTAGTATACAGTACTTAGCCTAACGTGATGATGATTATCTTGCATCTGAAATTTGAGTGTTCAAGTAAGCTTCCCTCTGAAATCAGGAACATCATTATGAGTTTGACAAACATCTTTTTCGGACCTAATTAGGAACACTACACGAGCATAAACTCATCTCTTTACGGACCTAATTAGGAACACTACACGAGCATTCATAGAATTAGGAACATCATTATGAGTTTGACAAACATCTTTTTCGTCGTCTTATTAGTGCTTCCCAAGAACTGCACGTAATCCCTCGTCTCCATTAGTACGTATAACCAAGAGGACTAGAAATAGGAAGGAGCTTTACGCTAGGCTATGCAAAGTTTGACGCAATATGTTAGCTTATTTTTTTGTCCATATGAGTGGGACTCTATTTAGGTCCAAAATGAGCCCATCTTGTTCGGATTTAGCCCATTTGTTGGGCTACTCATTTAGGTCCAACATCCTTGTCTCTAATTGGGTAATTGTTGGTGTAGCTTAGTGCAATTTTTTTTTTTTTTTTACAAAAGATAATCATATTAATTCAACAAAGAGAGTTACATCCTGGAAATCAGCCAGGTCTGGAAATTAAAAAACCGACTCGTAACCGGGTACAAAGACAGGGCCTTTCTAGCCACCAAGTGAGTTACACTATTGTTACGCCAACCTACAAATCGCACACTAAACCCAGCATGGGCAGCTAAATAATGTACTACTTCCTACAAAATTGCCCCCATCTGGTTGTCCCTCGTATATGCCCGGTTGATTTTCTCAATAATGATCTTGGCATCGCCTTCAAATCTCATTTTCTGGAAAACCCAGCTCTGGCATCACAAAATAGCCTCCCGCAGCACCAGGAGCTCGACCACCAAGGGCGCATCAATTAGCGAAAACTGGATCCTTTTGGCCAGAACGAGGTCTCCATTTGCATCCATGATAACTATCCCTCCCGCCGAGTGAGATCCACTCTTGGTCACCCCCATCCCACCTACAGATAGCCGTAGAAGAGTTGATGGTTAACTGGTTAACAATCAACGGGGCTAGGGGTTGCAGGACAAGATCGACAGGCTATCCACTCCTCATACTGCTGGTTAAATTGACGCATCAAGGAGGGGATCCCAAACTGTTTGCCCTCAAAGACAACCCAGTTCCGAGACCGCCAAATCCTCCACAAGATGACAACAACCTTCATGAAGAGCGGGAGCTGATGTAATAAAGACATCAACCTCTTAAGGAAGAGATGGAAAATATGACGTGGCAATCACCCGTGAGGAGACATGGAAAAAAGAAATCCGCAAGCTTAAGTACTTGTATACTTGAGTTTTAATTAGAAAACATAAGATGAGAATTTTATCTATTATCTAGAATCATTACTTATTATTATTTTCTTGGTAAGAAGAATCATTACTTAATTAAAAGGTATATGAAAAAGGAAAAAAAAAACAGTTATAGAATTTGAGCTCAAAAGCGATGAGCCTTAAATTATGGGTAACAAACTCAAAACAACATTAGAAACGAGTTCTCCTTTGTGTTTCATTTCTTAACCAAAAGCACCCTTAGGCCTCAGCTACCTCTACCGTGCATCAATCATCATCACTCATACTGCGACGGGTTCGGCAGCCTCGGCACAGGAATCGCAACGAGAGGCGACTTCAGCTTCAGCACGATCCCGAACTTCTCCGTGAGATCCACGCTCTTCTTCCCCTCGGGCATCTTCCAGTCGAAGGAATGCAAGAACGTGGCGAGCGAAAACAGGAACATCCTCTCCGCCATCGCGATCCCAGCACATATCCTCCTCCCAGACCCGAACGGGAAGTAGCTCAAATCATTCCCGCTGTAGTCCCATCTCGACTCGTCCAAGAACCTCTCTGGCTTGAACTCCAGGGGATCCTCCCAGATGGAAGGATCCCTGTGGATCGCCCAGACATTCACGAAGATTCGCGATCCCTTAGGGACCGAGTAGCCCGCCACCACGGTGTCCTCGCTCGGGCAGTGAGGGACGAGCAGCGGGAGGGCCGGGTGGAGTCTGAGTGATTCTTTCATGACGCAGTTCAGGTATGGAAGCTTGTGGATGTGGGATTCTTCCACTATGTTGTCCCTCCCGACCACTTCGTCCAGCTCTTGCTGTGCCCTCTCGAGGACTCGTGGGTTGTTGATGACTTCCGCCATTGCGAATTCGATTGAGTTGGCGGATGTGTCTGTGCCGCCCACGATCATGTCCTGTTTGGTTACAAACACAAGCAAAACAGAGACAGCGCTGTAAGATCAAGTCAACTACAGTCTACAGTGAAAGGTTTCCGCCGGTCGATAGAGAATCATCAAAGATTTGTTTTCTGGTTCGAGCAAATTAATTTAATATGCTGTTATGCCAACTAATGACCAACCATCTTATGTCCTAACAATTGCGGAGCAAAAAATCTGAACGAGGGGTAGATGATTTAAATTGTGCTAATTGAAGGTGGGAGGATGTATTTCGACGAGAAAACTCTTGTATTGATATTAATGATTTGCACCTTTGATTTCTTGAATAACGACAACAACAAGGTTTGTATTTCTCCAATAATGTTCGAATGAAGGTGTTTGACGATTTTGATGGCTAAAAAAACTAAATTTCATTACTTTATAGGTATGAAGGTTCAGTGAAAGCTCACTAAAGAGAATAGCCATTAGGAATTGACACACCAGTACTACCATCAGTTCTGAACCTGAAGATCTCAAATTCGTTTAGTAGCACCTAAAGGTATGAAAAATCAATTGGGGGAAAAAATGTAAACATACCATAAGAAGAGCTTTGACATGGGTCATGGTGAGAGGAGTCTTAGCATCGCCGCCTTCCTCCTTCACCAGCTTCAACAGAAACTCCAAGAAATCCGGCACGCCAGACGATTCCTTCCCTTCCCTTTCCATCTCCCCTCGCTTCTTGATAACCTCCTCATAAATCCGGTCGAAATTCATCCCGGCGGCGTTCACCTTCCGGTTCAGCCCCTGCAGGTCGAACCGCGACAGGGCCGGGAAAAAATCCGACAAATTGGGCTGACCCAACAGCTCCGTAATCACCGAAACCAGCCGCCGGAACTCCGCCCCCAGCCGCTCCCTCTCCTCCCCTGCCTCCACCGTCCCTCCCCACATCATGCTCGTCACCACGTTCATCACCGTCAAGAACATCTGCTCCCCGAAATTGACCGAGCCGCCGGCCCGACCCGCCATGTACCCGACCGTCCGCCGGAGCTCGCGGCGGCGGAGCCCGTACACGGAATCGAGGGTGGTGTTGCTGAGCATCTTCAGCACGCAGACTTTCCGAAGCATCCGCCACTCGGCGCCGTACGGGGTCCACACGATGTCGGATCCGCCGTACGCGACGGCGCGTGCGACGTCGGGGACGTCACGATTGGCGAAGGTGACGTCCTGGTCCTTGAGGATTTCGCGGGCCACGGTTGGGGAAGAGACGACGATGCCGAGCTTGCGGCCCAGCTGGAGGCGGAGGATTGGGCCGTATTTCCGGGCCAGGGATCCGAAGTAGGAGTGGAGCTCCGGGTCGAGGGAGGCGAGGTTGCCCAGTATGGGTAAGGCGGGCGGACCGGGCGGGAGGGGCGGGTTCTTGCTGGCCGGGCGGGTGAACCGCCAGATCGCGGCGAGGAGGATCGCGGCGATGGCCGCGGTGAAGATGACGGTTGCTGGAATCATGATTGTGGTGGTGGTGATAAAACGCCGGTGAGATTGTGGAGGAGAATTGATGGTAGAGCAGTTTATGGTGCTTCATTTTTATGGAGTGGGGCTGGGGGAAGTAAATGACAAACAGGGATTTTTGTGGGCGAGGAATTCAATAGTGAATGACGGCAATGGAATCAAAAGACGGAGGGAGGACGGCAATAAGTGTGGCACATCATTTTCTTTTTTTTTGGGAGGATTAGGTAATTAGGTTGTCGTTGGAAGTATTACTCTAATTTTGTGGAGGAGCCAGGAGGCCAGATGGCCGGTATGGCTGTATCAACTCTCTATATGTTTTTTTTTTTTTTTTTCTCTCTTTCAAATGGCCGGTATGACTTGACCAACCACAACAAATCGAATGAACTTGGAGAAAAAGAAGTGAGCGCCCAACTTCGAATTCGATTCGGACCATTCAATATGTCAAAGGTTTGCTTGAAACTCAGGACCGAATAGGGCTCCGAAACTATGGAATGCGTGATTCACTAATGCAGCAATTAACATTAGGAACTTGCCCTGAGGCAAGACACAACATTTTGTTGGATTCTTAAGTGGTGGTAATTGGTATGGAAGGTAGCTAGTCTTTTCTCTAATAATACTAAGAAATTAATAATAAAGAAAATGGATGAATCATCAATCGGCTCTAACTAGAAGAAGAGATTCTCCGAAATGGAGATATTGTTATTTTGGTGGGTTGGCAGGTGGTTATAGAGTTGACTTGATACTCTAATGTCTCGATCATTTTGTATTGGCTTTAATTTGTATTGAGTACAATCCATTTTCCAAATAATTTATCAAAACATAAAAAGAAAGGATACATTACGGCCTTGATTCGATACCAGTATCGGTAAATAAATAACCATCGACTATAAATAGTGTCTTTTACTAAAATGTTTTAAAATCACTGATTGTTAGTGATCGATACTAGTATGCGTTTGTCTTGTCAGTTGTCACTTTTGTTATCAATGATAGCGAGGCCGGCTTCTAGCTATTGGCTTACGATTTACCAACTATCGGTAATTTTCACCTCAACTACACTTGTAACTTGTTGGTATTAAGTATTTTCCTTCTATGCTAAATTTGTATTTCAGTCTTCTAGCAGAGTTTTGTTATGGGTTAAATACAAAACAGTCACTGAACCAACAGGTTTGTAATGAAATTGTGTTACAAAACCCAAAACTGTGGCAAACGCTAACCAAACTAACCGATTTGTAACTAACCGGCCACTTCATACGAGTTTGGCTCACCACCAGATAAAAAATTCATGTGTAAGCTGAAGAAAGCTTGTGAAGTTGTCAGTGTATTTACCATCAGAAGAAGATATCATAGGCTTATTACATCAAGCAACCGACGTATTGAGATCGAGTGTATTTCCTCTGTAGTTGGGGCCATTGCACAAAGAACTGATCAGCTATCCGCAGTTTGTAAAGCAGTAAACCGCTTAGAGACAGCTTCTTCACTCTAGCAATGCTCTCGATGTAAAATATAGTAGACCACCTAATCCCGACGACCTGCAATTAAAACATCTGAATGAGTTACAAGGCAAGTCCCTATGAAGATCATAGAGTGGTTGAGCAGGAAAGAGAGAATTTTAACCTTGAACAGAAACGCAATCACACACAGGGGCACACATGTCCCAGGACCATTGCAGAGTATCTACAATTTCAAGAGTTCATACAACGGAAGCTTAGTATAGTTGTGGCTTTAGTGAGTTAAAAAGGTAATTGAGTGCAAGGACAAGATAGTGGCAGAAAGTTTATACCACTTCCGGCCTGATTCTAAGCATTAACCATAACGCATGTGCAATGGCTATCAGGGTTGTCCCAATCGAGGTTATGTACGATTGACCGACTTCCCTGCTTCTGTATATCTGCATAAACTCTGCAGGTACCTTCTTGTCCTGAATATGGGGGATGAATGACTCTTAGTTGCAGAATTCAAGGTAAAACCACATCAACACTAACAGGGAATAGGGACTATCATATATTTCCCACTTATAGCTAGTTTCAGGAAACCAGTTAACACACTGGCAAAGGAGCAGGAAAGCACTAATCTGTGGCTCAGAAGCAACATTTTAATCAACCATAAAGATGCAGCATCGTCAAGTCCTGCGGGAGGAAAAATGATAACAATGGAACTTATAGCGATTGATTCAACATTCAACATAGTCCCACATCGAGCTTCCTACTTAACCTAAGATTAATGGATACGAGAAGCAGGGTGTTCTCTTATGAAGTGATGAACAATCAATCAAGTTAGACTAGAACAGTTGTTCATTTCAGTAAAATCAATTCATCGCAGCAATCAAGAATCAAGCAAGAGAAAAAATAACTAGAGAAACTAATATACCTCATCAGCTAATGAGTCCTCCAAGACTCGAGCTTTTTGCAGACTCATATTATCAGTGGCTGCAGCTATATAAAACCTAGGAGTAAACCTAGCTTTCTGCATCACGGACAGTACATTAATCATTTCTGCTGTATGTCCTCCTGCATTAACAAAGAACAACACAAATTCCATCTCATAAACTGAAGAATCAACATTATTTCAAGAATTGATGAGCTATCTCCCTTACCTGAGCCAAGAACAATCAAAGTACTCCGCGGCTTTGAAGATTTTGAGGACAATGGCTTACCAGTTCGATAAAAGACATAGACCACTCGAATCACAACCACCAGCAGGAAGATCGTGATCATAGTTGCAATAGAGAAGCAACAATCATATGCTTCCTCCATATCCAAATGGAAGGGAAGAACCAATTACCTGGACCAGTGGTTATGGCAGGCAAACCTGTCGCCCAAAAGACACTAAAACTAAGCAAATTGATGTACCAATAAAACTAAGCAAATTGGATTCGACAACATAACCATTCTCACATTGCAGAAAGCGGATAATAATAATGAGTTCGATCAAGAACAGGAAATGCCTCAGAGCACCCAGGCTCGACAGAGAAATTACCAGCTCAAACTCGAATGAAAATCAACTCCACAAAGTTAAGTTCGGAATTTGAGATGATACCTAAGAGGACCAAAAATGGATCGATCTCATCTACTTAAGACAGAAGAGACGTTGGACGGTGAAGGTGCGTAAGCGGAAGTGGAGTGCGACGGCGGCGCCGTCGATGCGAGCGTTGAGAGCCGGTGACGGCGCCGAACGGCAGCTTTTAAAGATCTGATCGGCGTGAACTATTCAGAATTCTCTCTTCGCGATCTCCGTGCGCTCTTCTCCTCTACCTATCTCTACGTTGTTCCTAATCGAGTGCCACAAGAGAAGTACACCGAACACATAAACAGGCGGAAAAGAATGTGCCCGGCCGGACGGCGACAGGAGAACGACAGAGGGTCTTCTCTCTCTCGTCGCCTATGTCAATCGCTCCGATGAGACCAATTCTTCTTCTGACTCTTCCGTTTTTCACTTTACCTTTCTCAAACCATTTTCACCAGCGGTCCAGAACAAAGAGCCACGACAACTGCCGCCTGTATTTTATAATTCTTCCCTTTTAACCCACAACAATTTTTGTATCTTTCGGTTGAGTCCATATTAAAACCAGTACAGTCGAATACTGTTCTTTTTCTTACTGTGCCGTTGAATACTAGCAAAAATAAATAGGAAGAAAATTTTAATAATGTGTTGTGAAGTAGTAGGAAATCTGGATATTTGGGAAGTTTAGACTAAGGGCTCTTGGATTTGGAATAAAATTCTTAAACTCAGAAGCTTACTTAGCTGCAGGGAAGTTGCAGACTACCAATAGAGGAGTTCAATGGGAAGGCAAACAAATGCCAAGGTATAAGGTGAAAACCACAGGGAATAGTATTAGACCTTGTAGATAGAAGGTTGCTTGGTCAAATATGGTCTGGTTGGGACAGCAGATTCCCAGGAACTCCCTCCTCACCTGCTTGATTTTGATTGACAGAATCTTGAAGTTTTAAAAAATCGAACGACGGAACCCTGACATATCTAATACTTGTATACTGTGTAAATCTGTCAACTGAATCCAGGGAACATATCTTCTTTACTTATGAGCACACTAACCAAATTATGCAGATAGTTCTTCCCCTGGAGTTAGTTAGCAGGTTGAGGGGTCAGTGGCAGGCTGATGTTAGTAAAATGATTCAAAGTCTGCAGCACTGTGAAGTGAGAAGATATGCGTGGAATCTGATGATGAGTGGGATATGGTGATTAGTAAGTCGTGTAGGTTGCCTGTAAAGTTTTTGAGTTGGTGATTCTTTGTAAGTTTGACCTATTTGTTGTTCTTCAGAGAATGAGTTTGTAGAAAGTGAAACAGATGTAAAATCGATAGTATGTGATTAAATGAGCCTCTTATTCTTAAGAAAAAAATGGCGATGAACTCATAAGTCATATCGCAATGATCATCAATCAATATAGTGTCACCATCTTACTCTTACAGTTCAAGAACCAAAAGGAGAAGATTCACCAATTGCCAGGCATCCAGCCCTGCCATGCCATAGAACCAGACGATATCTCTAGGTGCTGCAGAAGGTGGGAACATCAAATCATCAATCGACATAGCTAGTGTCCAAACATGAATGACAAGAACTCGGGGCGAGATACAAAGTTCAATGTAGCGAAACAAAATCATAGACAGCTCGATCAAGATACCAAAATCAACATTTAGTGGCGCAACGAACTAATGTTTAGGCTTCAATTCCTCAAGCCTGTTAAGTCCTTCAATATCCAAAAACCGTGAGACAAACATCTAACGAAAACTCGAGATGACAATCGAAGGCTCCCATCCCGACATACATTTCCAAAAATGGTAACCTAGGGATCAATGATCAGATTATTTTTCACTGTCTCGTTCTGGCAATTAGCTCCCGAATTCTCTGTATACTACTCCGAGGATGTCTCTCCATCAGGTAAACACACACTCACTTATCTCCAGATCCTGCTTGCTGCTTTACTCTCTGGACGCATTCGTAGTAGCTCTTGGTCAGAGGGCTGCACTTGAGGATATCGTTAATATGCTCCTTGTAGCACGCCCTGCAAGCTTCATAGTCAGGCATGCATGGCATTGGCTTCTGGTACGGGAGCTTGAATTCCTTGCCGTGCAGATCTTTGGCTCTTTCAGTTACTTCTTGCACCATGCGTTCCTCCTGCTTCTGCAACTTCTCAAGAACCTTCTCGCTCTCTGAAACCACAGATCGAATTGCATCCAGTTCAGCACTTGCAGGCTTGACAGGTGGTTGAACCGGCAAGAAAACCGGCCATCCGGAAGAAGCCGGTGGCTGCAGCTGCTTCTTGCTCTCCTTTGGTTGAGGCGGCGAGCGAGGTTGTTTTGATACCTTTGGTTTCGGTTTCCTTACTGTTCTCTTCTTTACTTTCTCGTCAGAACCAGCAAGCCGATCTACGAGCTCCTTGGTAATGTTAATTGTGAAGTCCCCCATGGTACAAACTCCACCCCAAAAACTTTACCTGCGAAAGTAATTGAACAATTCAAGCTGGATCACAACATGAAACTTCGTGAACATTGCAGCCTCTTCTCGATCATGAAGAGCTGGTTTTAGCTCGGTGAATGCTAAGACAATTCAATGTCAAAGAAAGAAGTATATTTATCAAATTCAAGTAACGCCAAAGAAGCTGCACTGTAACTAGTAGAGATTAGCATAGGAACATGGCTCTACGATGAGTGAATAAAAAGAGAAACTTGACACAAAAAGATTCAAAAATTGATCAACTAAAGGAAAGCCCAGGTGGTATGATCTCAATCTGGAGCTGAGCCACAAGCTCATTCCAATTACCAAACCTTTTGCAATGTTAAACCGATCAAACAACCAATTTGAACAGATGATGAAGCTGGGTTCAGATCAGTTTCCAGCGGTTGACTAGAAACAGAAGCAAATAATTCCGGTGAGACTCCTCTCGCATTCAAGCTTTCTCGTCTAAATCTAAGGTAGGGAATTTTTCGGGAGAACCAAACAGCCAAAGCAAACAATCTGCATCGAAGCAGCTTGCCAGAGCAAGGCAGCACAAACATGCAAAGAGATGTAATCATGTCGAAAATTCAAGGATTTTCCTGAAGCAAAGTTCTCCTATTGGGACAAAACCCTAACGAGTTCGTATCGATTCAAACCATCAATTCAGAGTAGCGATGACCAAAAACCCAAAGAACCAGTCTTTCAATAGAGCAATCGAATTTTCCTACCTGAAAGAAGAAAAAGTCCGGGAAACCTTTTGCGGCGAGGCTCGATTCACGATCCAACTCACTGCGCCGGGGTACGTCGGCGATTTTCTGGTGTTTATTTTGGGCGACAAGATGCAATCGCTTAATCTCGACTCGAGCTCTCTTTTTTCTTTTACTTTTCTGGGAGGAAATTTTCCTTCATACGGCTAATTCTCCCAGAATTTTGCTACAAAAAGTTCGGGCCTGTCTATGATGGTCGTGAAAATTCAGAAAGGCCCAAAATTAGGGGCCCAATTATCCTGCTGACTTTGATCCATATTGAATGATCCAATATGTCAACCGTATTTAAGATGTTCCCAAGGTCAGGTTGTGAATTACTTAGGCGACTTGCAGCCAAAAGCCCAAAACTATTTAGTTTCCAAAGAACGGTTAGTGGGAGCAGCCGAGCAGTGGAGTTTTCACCGGATTATTGGATTACTTTTGTGTTCGGAATAGAATAAGCTCATTTGGTAATTTATCATGTCTTGTTTATGTCGTTTCTTTTTTTAAGTGGTTTGATTTCGTTTCATGGCTTCACTGTCATATAATATTGTATGAGTCTTTCTATTACAAATTCTACCCGGTTTTGTTCCCTCTGCGTGAGGTATCTAATAATAAAAAAGAGAGCAGTGGAATAGGGGTGGGTAACTATTCGGTTCACACTTCACACCGAGCTAAGTTCTTGACTGAATTGATTGATGCCCATCCTAGTCTTGAGGGTTAACAATGTAATTCAATTGTAATTTTTTTGTTCCATATATATCACAATAAATGGACATGGATAGAAAAAAGTTCATATTACAAGCAATTGAATCACGTAGAACATGTCCAGCTAAAACCATCCTAGACAGTTAAAAGAAAATTTTGTATCATGATATGAGCACTCCAATAACAAAATGTAGCACAACTTAGAAGACAAACAACATATTTTCTTAAGCCACACAAACATACATGACATTTACAAAGGATGGAGTGGTCGACCACATCACAGGAGTGTCCCGTTCTTCAATTGTTGAACCGTTCATCCCTTCCGACACTGACTCGAGGAAGGTGGAGGTGGACCAAGTAGAAAACATTACAAGTGACAAAAAAAACTCAACAAGATAGGATTTAAAAATCACATCAAAATTATATCTAAAAACCATAAGAACTACAAAACATATCACCTCGAGGAAAATCCCTTTCTTCACTTCTTCTTCCATTTAACTTACCAAACACATATGCTGACATAAAAATAATATGGCCAGAGAAAACAGAGTGGGGACTGGGGAGGAACCATTTCTTGAGTTCATACTTGGCATCATTCCAAGGTGGAAGAAGAAGAGCAACAAAGAGTGATAGGCCACAACTCCACAGACCTCTATACATTGATAATGATCTTGCACTTTGGAACCAAAAAACAGTGCTACACATAGGTGTCATCTCAATTCAAATGTTCTTCTGAAACAAAATGGGACACTCATCTTTCTACTGAGGAGGGTAAACCAGAAGCAAAGGGCCACTCATCTCCACCAATATACAACCAAAAATTTACCAGAGGGTTAATATATCTGCAGAAAAGAGAAAACCTAATCATTTCCCAGGAGCCTGTGTGTTCTTCTCATGATGTTTCCAAGACAAGATATAATCAACTTGCCAGAGTTTTCATCACAACCCACCTATATATGTCCCCACTGGAGATTCTTCTTTTATTTTCCCACTTTATAGGGTTAATTGCAAGGTTGGTCACTGTGTTTACTAAAAACGTTCGTGTTTGGTCATTAAAAATATTTAATTTCATTCGTGGTCACTAAGATTAGTTAAGTGTTCCAAATTTGGTCACTCTCCGTCCAACTCCGTTAGTTTTGTCTGATGTGGCAGTCAACTCACAAAATTGACCGTTAACTTAGTGACGTGGCAATTAAAAAATAATAAATAAAATAAATTTTATTCTTTTACAATTCCAACTCATTTTCACAGTAAGGCAGAATAATTAAAACAGAAAAAAATTAATATAAATTCCAAATTGAAATCTGCCCGCCTCCGCTTCATCGCGTCGCCTCTGCTCCCATTTTCACCTCGCCAATTGATTTATGGATTTCCGAAGCCTCCTCCTTCACTCAATCGCCAAATTGAGAAGCCCACTCCATCGCAATCAAACGCTCCGATCAAAGCCGCTTGTCTTCTGAAAGACACAATCAAACGCTCCCCAACTGGTTTCCTCACCGCCCAGTCCTTCGCCGATTGGCAGAAGCTCCTCGGACTCACCGTCCCCGTCCTTCGATTCTTGCGCAGGTACTTTGAATGTTAAATTAGATTTGGTAGATGAATAGATATCCATTTCTAATGCATGTGAATCCCATCAATTTTTTCCAGGTATCCAACTCTGTTCGAAGAATTCCCACACGCCCGCTACGCGAACCTGCCATGCTTCCGACTTACTGAAACAGAGCAGCTTCTCGACTCACATAGTCACATGAACAATCCATCCACCTAGCTCACGAGGCTGGAACCGTGGACGACACCAATTCAATCTATCCACTCGCTGATGATGATGAAAACCAGAACGACACCAATTCAATCTATCCACTCGCTGAAATTCGATTTAGGTCTCCCCGATAACTTCGAACGTAACTTAATCCCTAAACATCTTGACCACTTTCGAGTACTCAAGGCATCCAACGGAATCGGCTTTGACCTTCCCGAGGAGTTTTCCTAAAGGGTACGGCGGTCAGAAGAAGGTGAGGGCGTGGATGGATGATTTTCAGAAGCTGCCGTACATTTCGGAGTGGGCTTCTCGATTTGGGGATTTGGCGACGGAGGAGGCTTTGGAAACCCGGAAATCAATCGGCTAGATGAAAGTGGGAGCGGAGGCGACGCGCTGAAGCGGAGGCTGCCAAATGTCAATTTGGAATTTATATTATTTTTTTCTGTTTTAATTATTCTGGCTTATTGTGAAAATGAGTTGGAATTCTAAAAGATTAAATTTTATTTTATTTATTATTTTTTAATTGCCACGTCACTCAGTTAACGGTCAACTTTGAAAGTTGACTGCCACATTAGACAAAACTAACGGAGTTAGACGGAGAGTGACCAAATTTGAAACACTTAACTAATCTTAGTGACCACGAATGGAATTAAATATTTTTAGTGACCAAACATGAACGTTTTTAGTAAACACAGTGACCAAACTTGCAATTAACCCCACCTTATATATCGAGACAAAATTTATTTTTATTTTTCACAAAGTTGAAATATTTATTTACCATGGTTATAGTTATATCTCAAGGAGATGATACAAAGTCGTGAATAATAATAAACTGTAATATTTATGTTTTTTATCCACATAATTAAGAGTTTATCACCATCTCACCATCCTAATTGTATTTTCAGGTTAGCGGAACAAGTAAACATAAAAAAACATTCCACAAACAATAGAAATATACTTTCACGAAGAACCCACAGAGCTAATGATTTATCATGTTCAATGCAGAGCGGGGAAAAAATTATACTAAACTCGGATAAAATCGATACAAACCTCATTATTGACCAAGTACAACGATCACAATGCAGTTTCACGAAACACGGGAAAGAATACCAGCATGATCACCTTATGATATTCAATTAAAAGATGTATAGTAACTGGACACTATATGTTTTTATGAAGATGCCACATAGCCATCAAAGGAGATGACCACCCTATATGCTATGTATTCTTCCCCCTTTGATGATAATATTGACTCACTCAACACCCTTTCTGTGTTGTTTACCTTTGTTTTCTTTCAAAGTCTCACTTGAAAGCAGTTTGCTTCTTCATCATCATCATCAAAAGATTTGTGTTTTCCTGAAGAGCATCTATATATAAGCATATCATGAGCTGAAATGAATAAACAAAATAACCCTACAAAAAGGTACGAACCACCTTAGCTTCTTGGCTAGAATGTGAGTCAACATTCCACTTTGCCAACCCCTATTGGTTTATTCTTTCTCAGTAAATCAAGCAAATTACGAATTCTTTTTATTATCTTTTGAGGGATTGGGGCCGTTGTTGCAAGCGTGGGTATGATGGCCTAATTGGCAATGGACCTAAAGGAGTGGGCGGTTTAGTTGTAGGGTATCCCTATCTCAATTCTCACCCCACCTTCCCCCCTCCATGTTCTGCCATGCAGGCTGCAGCTTTACTCTGTTGTGGACTATGCTGCGCATGACTTCCACGTGCTTGCTTATCAAGTCCTTAATTATAAATTAATTACTTTGGTAAACAAAAGGTGGATTGTGGTATTTTGAAGTTGGGGAATAAAGAAGAAAGAAAGTATCCACGGGGTTGTGGTATTTTGAAGTATAGGACAAATTTCATGTTCGTTTGATTGTTGGATTTGAAAATGATGATTTTGAGTTTTAAAATTTTTTGGATTTAAAATGGATTTTTTGCATTGTGGATTAGGAAGAGTACATTGTTTGTTTAGTTAATTTTTGTCATAGATTATGATGGATTTGTCTCACAATTTTGCCTTCTATTATCAAATTCTAAATGAAAAGTGGGATTTGCAAATCCGTGAGGTCCACGAATTTGGATCTAAAAAAAAGGGTCCGAATCCATGGACCCCAAGCAAACGATTACCAAAATGATGCATAATGAGTCAATTGAAATCCCTCTTCTCCCTAGACATTTTAATTAACTCGCTCTGTCTCTCCTTTAATTTGGTGAAATATTATAACTTTAGAATGTTTTATTAGAACAAGACAATTAGATCCAATTACCACTTTCCAACCTGAAATACCACACAAAATGTCACATACCAAAATAATGTAGTTTCAAAATACCACAGAACCAAAATGATACATTCCTTCGAGGTTCAAAATGCCGCATCCAAACGATAGGTGTTTGCCATTTGTAGTAATAAGGTTATGTACTATGCGTAACCTTTAGGTCACACTCGTAGATGGGTCATGGCCTCATGGGGATGCGCTGTTTATTGTCAGCAGTATGTAATTGGCAATTGCTGCTGGGGCAGTTTGTACATTTCTTAGCGCCCCTGTTGAATCTGACATGATTCTCCGACATCTATAAATTAAACCGGCTACAATTGAAAGCTAGATAGCTTGGAAATCAAACGAAAACTCAAAGCAAATGCTGCTTTCAGAATGACAACTCTTGAGTTGTTTAATCAAGTTAATTACGTGCCTTAATCTCCAATACAAGAAACTGCACATTTCATGTTGTTTAGTTCCCTTTTTTTTCAATTGTTGTTGGGATTACAAATGTGGCTCATATTCCTCGAGCTATATGTGCTAATTATTATGTTAATTAACTCCGAGCTTACTT